AGAGAGGGAGGGAGGGAGGGAGGGAGGGAGGGAGGGAGGGAGGGAGAAAATATGGCATGCTGCGTACCCCACTTGCAACAGTGGTATGGCAACTCTGGAAAGCCAGCTTCCATCCTGTGTTCCTCTCCCGCACACATTTCCACCTTAAAGGGAGTGGCTACTGCAGCATAAGAAATCCACACAACGGCTGAGTGCTGGTCCATATATGACACAGTTTTGGATCACTTAATATACACAAGGTTTAAAAACATCTGCGAAATCTTCTGTTTACTACTGCAATGTAATTTTTAGCTCAGTTTAGTTTAGTCCATTTAAATATACTTAAAAACGATTTATAGGAATGAAACACACTGAAAAATGACATATGTACAATTCTATTCTTTCAGGCACAGACCTTAAATTAGAAGGAAGGCCTTGAAATAAAGGTGCAATTGCCGATCTCTCCCTCTACAGTGGCGTTACCAGTCTCCATAACTAACGAGACTGAATTTCATACAGTATTTCTTCAGTTATCAGTGTTATACAAGGCCAACCAGGCAGAATTATTCATAATAACTTTCCTTGGTGAAAATGCATCTTGCTTATTTTTCCCCATTTCAATACCCATTTTTCCTCACTTGAAGCAGAACAATTACTTCAAATGTATGGTTTATTATCTTTAGATAATTGATCTGAAGGTGTTTCCTTGACCACTGCTCAATGTAGAATGACCTGCCTCAAAACATAAGCTGAGGCTTAAGCACTTAAGCAAGTTTAAAAATAAGTTAGAACAGTTACCATACCAGAGCTGAGCATACAGTTTGAGATCCTGCTGCAAGATGTTTGTTTCCCCCTTACATAAAGCTATATGGTTATAGTGGACTCTCAGGTTCCTCCCATCTCTTCAGCTTTCTGACACGCTCTCAAGGTGAAGGAACACGGATGCGGAACAACCCTTGTTGAAGCTGGAGCCGGAAAAGCTTGCAGTTTGCTATACGCAAAGCTGCACATCCAGTACGGCGAAGATCTGATGGAAAGAGCGGCTTCGTGTGATGCCATGTTCCAGTGCTTCTTTTAAACTCCCGAACATAATCATAATTGGTACCTTTTGGGAAAGAGATTTTCAGTTTTAGGATTTAGCAGCATTTAGAAAACTACTTTGCCTAGTAAGATCAATGCAACTTCTCATGGAAATCCTAATAGGTGTCCTGTACAATAAAAATGCAAAGCTAAACTAAATTCAACAACAATACATTTTGCATCTTACATTCTTATTATGGTTAAGTTGTGTTGCAAGCTTGCACCTAAACTATTAGATGATATTTGTTTTCTACTCTTTCTTTATCTGTAGTGACTTTAACATGCCACAGAAAACAACAAATAATTATAGGTTCCGAAGTATGTTATTTTTTTTTAACCAAGGTACACAACATTTCAAAGATGGACCATTTTAAAATAAGAACAAGTAATAAATGGCCAGTTCAGTTCCCAAGAATTTTCACTACTATTAAACTTTGTAGCTGTTATGTCGTGATGAAAAAATGTTTATGGTAAAATACAAAACGGTTAAGATAAAATAAATGCATAAGTGGATTGCTTGGACTCTTACCAAAAAAAAGTATTTAAACATTTGGACTGGTCTTCTGGAAAGATGCCAAACATCTTTCAGTAGTGGCTAGTAATAGTACTGTGAAAGGTGAAATTTCCGTTAACGATGTACTTTTTAACAAGCTTGTCTTTGAAGACATGAAAAAATAATCTGAGTGATTAAGCAAAGGGTTTACAGAGACCCTTGCCAAGCTGCTGAGACCAGGCTGGTATAACCCACTGGTGAGATTAGCTGCTCTGAGCATCAACAAAGTATCAAAATGACCAAAATTGGTAATAAATGAGACAAATAAGTGTTATTTAAGTAGTCTGTGGGGCTGTCATGTCCCATAGTATGCACTAATGAATTTATCATGACAGAAGCTTTCATGGGCCAAAGGCAACTTTTCATAGGCATTTTGTGTGAACTTTAGTTCACAAATGCTTATGTCGCCATGGTAAATCTGTGCCACCAAAGTATCATTTCTGCTGCTACTTTTCTGAAAGCAGAACGGGGTATGTGTTTTTTTGGTTGATAGCAAAGAATGCAAGCATATGACCAAAACATCTACTTCATCAACATTCATCTACTTTTCGAGCTATAGCTTCCTTAATGTTGTTTCCTCCTATTTTGACTATTATAAAAGTGAATAATTGTGTACACTACTACAACATAGAACATGCAAATTAGCTACAGCCCTCCAACAAAACAAGGTTAATGAATGACACACACAAGACACCCTCACAACATACACACCACCCTACTTGTGCCACACACTAGAGCATGGTTTTATTTGTAAGATTTCATGTTAAGTAAGTTGCATTAAATGTTAGAGAAGATCTAAAGAATTAACAGGGATAATACTACAAGTTCCATACATACAGTAATTTAAAAATGTAAAAAGCAGAACACCTAAAGGGTAAATTAATTACCTGAGCTTTATTTTTTTGATTGATTATATTTATATCCTGCCTTTTCTTTTTTAAAGAACTCACGAGTGGCTTGCATAATTTCCCTCCTCCTGCTGCTCTCCATCTTAACTCCACGACAACAACCCTGTGAGGTAGGTTGGGCTGAGAGTCCTTGACTGGCCCCAAGGCACCCAGTGGGCTCCATGACTGTGCAAGGATGAGAACCCAGGTCGCCTGAGAGCCAGTACTGCACTCTTAACCACTACAACACATGGGCTCCCCCCACACATGGTAACATTTTATTGACTGTCCTCTGAAACATTTTTTTAAGATACAATGAAGAAACACCCTCTCCCCCACTATTTTACTGTTTAATTGCTAACCTGTATCAAGATCTCCAATCACATAAATGCTAGCACCAATGGGCACAGCTCCATATACAAATGAAGAACTGGCTGGGATGCATAAATTCTGATCGTTTAAGTAGATCCACCTGCAAGAAAAGGAAACAATCCAAGTGTCAGTTGTAGAGCAATTTCTGCATCCAAGACACATCCGTTTCATGAACCTGACCATGCAGGGCAAAACTACTGATGCAAGCACAAGGCTATCTGAAGTGCAGGTTTTTCAACCTGATGCACCTGATGGAATACTGCACCACCTTGTGGCTGATACAAGACAACATCCATTGGACTAACCCAGAGGTGCCCAACACACTCTAGCACCTGTGGGGACCTCTAATGGCACCCATGAACCCTCAATTTTGTGCCCCCTTCAAGATCTGTTTCTTAAGCAAAGCCATTATTGGATCGCCTTGTTCCTGTACCTGCTGATCAGGGTGTTGAAGAAGAAAAGAGTTGCTTCCTCACTCAGTTTTCTTCTGCCTACACAGATCTTTCCCCTTTGCTCTCTCTCTCCTCACTCCTAGTCTCGAGGCATCCTATTTCTTCTTCTCATCCCTTTTCCGCACTACTTCTCTTCCTTTCCCATCCCTAGCCACCTTCTTTACCTCCCGGTCAGACTCTAGCTTTGCTCTTTTCTCCTTTTTACCCCTCTTGCCTTGTTCATTTCCCCACCACCACTCTTCCAGGCTCTACCTATTTCTTCCCATCAACTCCTTAGCTTGCTTTCGATCAGCTAGGCCCCACCATCACAGCCTTTATGTAGCTAGCCACATCCACTGTGTAAGACATTCTGGGGTGGTGGCCACAGCAGTTTCTTCAGTTGCCAAATGTGCCCGCAGGACTGAAAAGATTTGGGTCCCCTGGACTAAGGAACCAGAATCTTTTACTGTTGGCAAAAGTTCAACGGTGGAGCAGGTAGATGAAGATATGCATACACCTATCATCTTTTAAAGTGCTGAAACATCCTAGTAGGGAGGTCCAGTACAAACGTGTAATATTGGGCTTCTTCCTAAATGAATTCTATTATTCCACCACATAAATACAATTTAAATAACTCCTGAAAGAATTCGTAAATGAACATTTCTGAAATCAGTAAGGTTTTTCTACCAGGCCCCAAATATGGGAAAAGGAGCACCTATTTTTCCACACACAGGTCCAACAATCATGACAAAAGGAAGGCACTATCAGGGTAGAAAAGCAAGATCCTCCGAGAAGGGACCCCTGAGAGTCAATCATCCATATATGTCATTGGACCAAAAGGAAGGTCCTGAAACTGGAAACATCTGTCACCAATAGCAATGCATAGAAACAGCAGTTCTGTGATCTTACTGGGATATGCAAGTCCCTAACATCTATGGAAATAAATCAGTTTCCCTGTCTTTAAAGGAACATGACATTGACTAAGGTAACTTTCCAGAACTTCCAGGGGGTGATGAAGGAACTGACATTTCTCAAATCTAGAAATCCCTGAAAGCAGTTTCGTACTTCCACTGTTACCACTAGTGCAGGATGTCTTCTAGCTCCACTCCTGTCACTCTTTTCTGGGAAGTTTCCTTAACTTCATTTTCATTTGCTTTTAGATTCTTCTCTTCTGCCACAGCTTGATATCAAGTCGTCTAGCTCCTATGCTTCACCTTGCTGTTGAAATTCCACTGCTCTGTCTAAGAATCCGTCTTACCGTATTTCTCTTGAGAGTGGACACTTGCCCCTCCAGCACCCTGACTTTTTCTTCTAACAGTGCAACCAGCTCCCACTGACCTCGGGCAAGGAAGCCAACATGCTCCCTTTTTGACCCAACCTTACTGACTGTATGGGAAGAGCCTATGCTGCATCTTCTTGTTTGCCTTGATGAGTAACAAAAGAGCCCCTTTTGCATCTGCCAGCTCCTTTTCCACTACAACTCTGCTGCCAACCCCTTGCTCATGTGCTCGGATCGCTTGGGCTCTAGGAGCTGGCTTTCTTGCACATCCCTGACACCAGCCGGGGCAGGAAGCATCTTTAAAGTTACCCACTCAAGAACAACTCGCAGGCCCAAGAAGAGGAAGCAGCTGAGGGTGCAAAACTGGCTGACTAGAACACTGCAGGACATAATATAGCTCTAAATAAAATATTTTATTATTTGCAACCCCTGTAACTGAAAGCTCAACGTATAACTAAGATGATCTGACTAACCAACCAACCTTGTAAAATAGCACCCTCTTCTGGTTAACTGGCATGTATCACATATACCTGGCATCACGCTGAGAGATAATTACCAAAGCTAAACATGCTTACACATTTACTATAGCGCCACTATCCAAACATTCAACCTGACTTATCAAGTATTACCCACATAAGAACAGCAAAGCAGTTCTCAGGGAGAGAAATGAGGCAGATCAAATTAGTTAGAGAATCAAACCAACCAGTTGGATTGCATACATTAAACAGTCCTTTCACAAAAATAATTCTGTACCATTAACTGGGGAGAAAAATATCAGTGATCCATTTACCGGCGCAACAAGCGCCCCTGCGGATGATAACAGAGCACATGCTTTGCATGCAGAAGGCTCCTGGGCAGCAGGCCTCCATAAGAGGTTTGTTTGTTTAAGGTTGGCTGAGCAGCTGCAAGTTGGAGCAGAATGCAATGGGCTTGATGGGACCAAAGGTATGACTCATATGTTACGTATATACAGTGTCTTTGCTGTGACTTGTCTAAATAAGCCCTGGTGCAACACACACATACTGTAAGTAGATGACTGGCATCCACGTGGGTGCAATTCCAATGCCACATGATCTTGGATTATATACACCTGTTTCTGGAAGGCCCCAGAATCTGTCGGCAAACATGTGTAAACAAACAGTATCATGAGGAGCAGGAAGCTATCAAAACAATTAATACAAGTATCACTTCCAGATCTTGTGAGGTACTAGTTCCCCTTTACTCAGCACTAGTTAGTCCTCATCTGGAGTACTGTGTTCAGTTCTGGGCACCACAGTTTAAGAAAGAAGCAGATAAGCTGGAAAGAGTTCAGAGGAGGCAACAAGGATGACTCAGGGACTGAAAGCAAAGCCCTGTGAGAGATTGAAAGAGCTGGGCATGTTTAGTCTCAAGAAGAGAAGACTGAGGGGAGCTATGATGGCACTCCACAAGGGCCTGAAAGGCTGTCACAGAGGAAGGACAGAATCTCTTCTTGATCGTCCCAGAGTGCAGGACACTGAACAATGGGCTCAAGTTACAGGAAGTCAGGTTCTGGCAGAACACCAGGGAGAACATCCTATTAGGGCAGTAGGAGAATGGAACCCATGACTCAGGGAGGCGACAGGGTCTCCCACACTAAGGCACTCAAGATGCAGCTAGGCAGCCACCTGAGAGGGATGGTTTTGCTTGACGTCCTGCACAGAGCAGGGTGTTGGACCCTATGGCCTTCCTGGTCCCTTCCAACTCTGCTATTCTATGAGTCTATGAATATTTATACAATGAACACACGCCACGTTATTTTTGTTCCATTCACTTTTGTGTCATAGTAAGAATATTTTGCACTTCTGCAGGACTGAGCATCTTGTGTACATCACGGGGTGACATTGGCAATTATTTCCATTCCAATTCCAGGCTGCAACACAATAAACTATGGCAAGGCCAAAGAAGGGCGAATAGTTCTGCCAGGTACTGCATGCTCTGTCACATTTGTACCATTCAACTAAACAACAGAACAAGAAAGAGTGCAGCAGCCATATTAATGGTCACTAGATCACACTGACAAGCTGTGTTACCTTTTGAATTCATCATGATAGAACTCTGATTTACAGGTCACCATCTCGCTGGATTGATTATCATCACGACTTCTCACCCCACCAAACACATAGAGCTCTGAAGCAACTCCACATGCCACAGCTCCAAACCTGAAAAGCAATGCAAGAGAGGAAACTCTGATCTGATCACAGTTGCATTTTCTTTCTTTTCTTATTTTCCTTCTTTTCTTTTGTTTTCCTTCCTTTCCTTCTTTTCTTTAGTTTTTGAAAGTGGTTGTTATGCTGTGCTTATTACTTAATGTTTTAATTACTGTTTTATTGTATTATTATATTACTATTTTAACCTTTGTAAGCCATCCTGAGGCATGTTTTGCAATGGGCAGGATAAAAATGTTTTAAACAAACAAACAAACAAACTCAAGGGTCTATATTATTTTAAACATTAAAAGCAGAATTTGACAATGCTGCCAGTATCCAGAATTATAATTCATTTACTCAGAGAATAAAAGATTTCTTTTTCAACTATCCATCTGATGTAAGTAAACATATATAATACAACTCCCAAGACTTAAAATGGGGTGCGGGGGGGGGGGGACAGATGAAGCTAAATAACAAAACACCAACACAAAGGGAAGGCACTGCAAAATTTCCCCAAACATGAAGATGGTGCATATTGCTTAAATGCAACAGTGAATAGTAGTTAAGTCACTGCTTTCACACAAACTTGACACCATGATCATAATCTAAGATCTGCTGTTTAGAAAACTGGAAACTTTGTTACGATTATATGCAGTTGCAGTAACAGCCATTTCCCCCTATCTAAATGCAAAGATTGCCAAATGAGCTGTAAATTGAGGGATTTCAGTTGTCTTACCTTTCCCATCCTTGTTGTGCAGCTACATACCTTATCCATAAATAGCTACACAAATTCATTCTGATTTGGCAGAAACTTAGTCATGCTCCAGGGCCATATCATCCTATTCTGCAACTACTTACCTCAGACGACCTGAAGGGGTTCCACTTCTGCAACTACTAACTTGAACTATCCTGTGCTGAAACATGGATTAAAGCAGTCTAGCATTGCTCTGGTTACCCTGCCATGTGGTTCCTTATGGTAGAGACATGGGGACATGACATGTCTGGTGGAGGGGAACCAGAGAGAAAGAGGGATTCATCCTTCCCTGAGCATCCCACTCACTTGCCTGGATGGAATGTTAGTTCACCTATTGCGGCCAAGCTAGTGCTTAAATACAAGGTGGGCATGTTGTGAGCGGGGCCGGCTGGAGCCGGGGGTCAGACTAAACGGCCCAGGAGGCCCCTTCTGACTTGTTCTGTTTCTATGTTTCTACAAGGCTGTAGAAGCTGTCTCCCTATTTCCTACTGTGGAATACTGGAGGATATGTAGGATGAAGTCGCCGATATAATCTGGACAAAATACTTGACTTTACTAACCTTCTCTCTTTTAGTGGACAGATAGCTGTCCATTGCTGGATCTTTGGGTCGTAACACTCAACAGATTCGAAGAGCTTGCCATAGGAACCACCACCCATTGCATAGATCTTCTTCTTCATAGCTGCATAGCAACCAATCTAAAAAATTAATACATCAAAAGCTATTACACAAGTAACGTGAGTATCTTATATACATGTTCCATGGATACAGTGAAAAAATAAACAAACTGAAGCACAACTCTTTTAAAATTAATGCACTTCTCAAGGGAATGAGGGGAACTGGGAGAGGAAGAAAAGAGTTCTCCCACACATTAACCAGCACATCAGCATCACCACAGCCATGCCTCTACCATCTCTCAAACAATTCAGATTTCAAAATCAACAGTTAGTGAGGTAAGCAATTTGATAACAGGTCACTGTCTAGAATGCGTCAATTGCAACTTCAGCAGAAACATGAACATAGGTTTTGACCAACACACAAACTTGCCAGAGGACCCACAACTGACCAACATTCTCTGTTATATTGACACATCTTTAAAACCCTTATGTATCTTTGCAATATGCAAAGTGGTCCTAAACTATTTGAGTTAGTTTAAGTGGCCCTGAGGGCTCTCTGGAACAATGTGGGCACGACACAGAAATGAAGAAACTAGCAGCTTACATCAGGTTGCTTAGTGTTGTTCCTCTGTGCATTCATACCTACCAGCTTTGTGCCCGTGCTGAGTCTGTTGTTGGGAAGATTTACCAGCAATCACATTTTGGTGGGAAATCCTCCCCCTGCCCACCTGCCCGCCCACACACACACACACACACACACACCAGTGCCTAGTATAAAAAGGAGGTTTCTGCCCATTTCCTCAGTTGAAATGAGAACACCAGGGTAGCCTCATGACCAAAGGAGGACTGTCAGGACTGATTTCGATCCTGATGAAGTCAACTGACTTCAATCAAAAGGGAAAAACAGAGAAAAAATATACTAGAGAGTTACATTATGACACCAAGCAGGGTCAGCAGGTGGGTTGTATGAATGCACAGATGACCACTCAAAGAACATCAGTTACAGGTGAGCAATAGACTTTCTTCTTTGTGGCCCCGCATCACATGTATGGGCAGCTAAAGAGCTTACCTTGATATGGACAGCAGGATGGTGTCCTCAGCATAGAAGAGAAGAGAGAACTGCCCTCCCAAAGGCACATTCAGGTCTAGCACGGACGTTAAGTCCGTAGTGCCTAACGAAGGTGGAAGCAATTGACCAAGTAGCAGCCATGCATAGGTCATGTAGTGGGACCCCAGCATGGAGAGCTGTCAACATCGCCATTGCCCTAGTGAAATGCACCCTATGGTGGGTTGGTAGTTATAGGCCAGACAGTTCACGTGTTAGGCAGATAGTCTGTATGACCCAAGTTGCAAATCTTCTAGACATGACCGGCTGTCCTCTATTTGGATGGGGAGGAGAAAAAAAAGAGGGTAAAATAGTGTCCTGGTTCATCTGACGAGAAGAGACAACCTTCTGAAGGAAGGGTTAGGGCACAACACTACCTTATCTTTTTGGAAGACTAGGCATGGAGGATCCCCCTGCAAAGCACACAGTCCACTGGAATGGCAGGCAGAGGTAATTTCAAGAGGAAAGCCACCTTCCTAGCCAGGATATGGAGATCGATCATCATCAAGGGCTTCTTCTTATCAGTACCTGTATAGAACCACAGATAGGCTCCACTCCAGTGTAAAGGATTGTACATGTGGGGCAATGGTTTCCAGTCCTTGCAGAAAACACTTAGCCAATGGGTGAGAGAAAACCGACAAACCCTGAATGGGGTTCTGGAAGGAGGAGATTGTCGTCAAATAAACTTGAATGGAAGATGTCTCAAGTCCCCTTTGGAAAAGTGTATTTAAAAATAAAAAGCTTGCTTGACCATGTAGCAGCGAACATCAAAATTCGCCATGGAGACAAAGGCAGTAAAAGCTCTCCATTTTGCTGGATAGGCTTTCCCGTGGAAGGCTTTAGGACTGCATCCAAAATAAACTAAAGTTCAGCTGGGTTAGCAGAACTGGATTAGTCCAGTGTGGGATCCTCCATGTGGTGGGGCACAAGGTTCTGATGTCCAGATTGAGAACCCTGACATGATCCTGACAGATGAGCTTTGGGTTTGATGGGAGTATGATGTAGTCTGAGCTGAAATCCTGAGGAGGTGAGCGAACCATGGTTGTCTCAGCTGCCATGGTGTTATAAGGATGCAGTCAGCAGAACTTTTAACAGTACCCACATTATCAGAAGGAAGGGACAAAATGGTAGAAAAAGGTCCCCATCCAAGTCAGCAGAAGCACATCTCCCAGAGAGCTCCTGTTCTGCCCAAGAGCAGAGGCAGCTGCACATGATGTTGTCCCAAGTGTTGAACAGATCCATGGACTCAATTTTATCAGTCTTGGTGAGTGCCACAAGGAACCAATTGTCCAGGTTCAGGTAGACTAGGACCCCCTGAAGACTCTTGGGGCTGTGAAAAGCTCAAAAGGCAAAACTAAGAATTGGTAGGTCTTTCTTCCAACTCAGAAGCATAAAAATTGTTGGTGGGAGTGTTCTACTGAAATGTGAAAATATGCAGCCCTAAGATCTGTTTATGCAAACCAAAATCCTATTTAGAGAAAGAGCAAGAAGTTTTGTAGAGCCCACTATCGGGCCTATGCTGTGGCGGTGAAGGCGGCGAAAAAGAAGTTTTTTTCCGCTTCCATTGCCTCCTCACAATGCCACCCGGCGGAGCTTTTTCGAGTGGTACAAGGCCTGGTTCGCCCGGGTCCTAAGGAAGATCCGATGCCACCCTCAAAGGCCTGCTGTGACAACTTTGCCAGGCATTTCAGGGAGAAAATCGCTCAGATTTGTCACGAGCTGGACTCCACTAATGAATCAGAGGTTTCTGGGGAGACGCCAATGCTACCATCTGGTCCAAAATTATTGGAGGAATTTCAATTATTGCAGCCCGATGATGTGGACAAGGTGCTTGGACGAGTATGACCCACCACTTGCCTATTGGATCCTTGCCCGTCTTGGTTAATAAATAACTCCAAGCACGGGATTGGGACCTGGATCTTGGAAGTGGTTAACGTTTTTCTGAGGGAGGGTCGGGTGCCTGCCCCTTTAAAGGAGGCGGTAATACGACTGGTCCTGAAGAAAGCGTCACTGGATCCAGAGATGGCCACTAACGATAGACCTGTGGCCAACATCCCGTTTCTGGGCAAGGTGTTGGAGCGAGTGGTGGCGGGACAACTCCAAGCACTCTTGGATGAAACTGATTATCTGGATCCTTTTTAGCCCGGCTTCAGACCCGGGTACGGTACTGAATCTGCCTTGGTCGCCCTGTACGATGACCTGTGCAGGGAGAAGGACAGGGGGAGTGCATCCCTGTTGGTTCTTCTGGACCTCTCAGCGGCTTTCGATACCATCGACCATGGTATCCTTCTGGATAGGCTTGTGGGATTGGGGGTTGGAGGCACTGCTTTGCAGTGGTTCCGCTCCTATCTCAACGGTCGATTCCAGAAGGTAGTGCTGGGGGACTATGTCTCTGCGCCATGGCAGCTATGCCATGGAGTACCACAGGGTTCCATTCTATCCCCTTTGCTATTTAACATCTATATGAAACCGCTGGGAGAGGTCATCAGGAGGTGTGGGCTGCGGAATCATCAATACGCTGATGATACCCAGCTCTACCTCTTGTTTTCCACTAATCCAGGTGAGGCAGTGGCTGTGCTGAACCGGTGCTTGGCCGAGGTAATGGAATGGATGAGGGCCAATAAACTGAAACTCAATCCAGACAAGACGGAGGTCCTGTTGGTTGGCGGATCGGGCTTCGGAGAGGGTGGATTTGACCTGGTCCTGAATGGTGCAACACTCCCTCTTAGGGACAAGGTCCACAGCTTAGGAGTACTCCTCGACCCGGAGCTTTCTTTGGAAGCTCAGGTGACAGCGGTGGCGAGGAGCGCCTTCCTTCAGCTTCGGCTGATTAATCAGCTGCACCCCTACCTGGAGTACGACTGCCTGACGACGGTGACACACACGCTGGTGACTTCCCGCCTAGACTTCTGTAACGTGCTTTACGTGAGGCTTCCCCTGAAGACAGTCCGAACACTTCAATTGGTGCAAAATAGAGCTGCCAGGTTGCTGACGGGGACGGGGTGTTATGCTCACATGACTCCAGTCCTCCGTCAGCTTCACTGGCTTCCCATTGAAGCCCGGGCCCAATTCAAGGTGTTGGTTATGACCTATAAAGGCCTAAACGGCTTGGGTCCTGGCTACCTGAACGAGCGCTTACGTCCGTATATGCCCGACCGCCCCTTGAGATCTGTGGGAGAGTCCCTTCTCCGGGAACCCTCCAGGAAAGAAATTAGGAGAGTAAGTATTCGGAGGAGGGCTTTCACTGCGGTGGCGCCCAACCTATGGAATTCACTCCCCAAAGAGGTCCGCCTGGCACCGTCGTTACTGGTTTTTCGGCGCTAGGTAAAGACCTTTTTATTTAAACATCATTTTAATTGTTAAAATATATGATCTGGCCAGGGCAACTTCTTCTTCCTTCTCTTAATTTTAATTTTATATTATTATGTTTGTATCTCAGTGTATTTTTGTATTTAGTGGTAATTTATTATGTTCTATTGTATTTCAATGTATTTTATTGTGTTGTAAGCCGCTCCGAGGCTTCGGCAAGGGGCAGCATAGAAATGTTATAATAATTATAATCGTCATCATCGTCATCATCATCATCATCCTAAACTTTTTAAATGGGATGAGAAAGTTGAGGTTAGGTAGATCTAGAACTGGATAAAGCCCTCCATCCTGTTTTGATACCATACAGTATCTGGAAAAAACCCACTGTTCAAATCAGAAATCCCTTGGAGAGCGGTGACTGTATCTCCTCAAACAGGGTGGGTGATGAGCATGAAGCCCTGATGATACTGAGGGGAGGGCAGGCAGAGAATTTGATCCAATATTACTTTTCTACAATAGAAAGCATCTACATGTCCAATGCTACCAACTCCCAGACATGGAGAAAGACACAAAATGTCTGAAAAATAAAAACAGGTAAAACGGGGTCCGTCCCAAGGTCTAGTCAGAATTGTTGTCAGTCCCAGTCAGTGCATCTTTGGTTTTGCTGGTATCTAGGGATGCAAGCCTTTCCTCGGGACTGGAGAAGCGGACATGAAGATTTCTCTGATCGGGTGTGGGTTGAAAGATGGTAGAAGTCACACCAACTACTTATATGTGGTCTTGTTGGAAGCCAGTCTTTCTCACTGTCATCCTGGGCTTGTGGATGCTATCCTTATTGGTCTTTACACTAAAGAGTCTGTTCCTGTAGAAGAGCAGGTGTCAATCAGGGAATGGGTCTTCCGTGGGACCCAGATGAACGAAGCCATGTGTGTCTCCTGAGCACCACCGCACTTATCATAGCCTTGGCCCCACAGTCCACTTGCTGTTGAGCAATACTGATCTGGGGTTCTTGAAAGATGCATCACCTTGGTCTGAAACATCCTGGCAAAGCCCCTTTGCTGCTCCAGGAGGTGACTGCAAAGGGCACCCAATTTCTCTCAGAGAAAGAGTTGGTACCTTGTGGTGGTGCCCTTGTAGTTGGCCATCTAGAGTCCTGGAGCTAAGGAAGAATAAATGCACCTTCACAAGGAATCCAGATGGTGACCATTTCTGTCAACTGAGGTTGCATGGTCGCAGCATGCCCCCCTTGATCTGACTCCCAACACAATGGAGTTTCACTTAGGGTGCTGAAAAAGGAAGGCCACATCTTTGAATTGCTCCTTGTACACTTTGTTGAGTATTCTTGAGGCTGGCAGCATTCACAAAGAGGCCTTTCATGACTGCTTGCATGGTCTGGAGGAAGTGATGTCATGGGGGTAAAGCCTTTGGTTTGGACTATGTTGAATACAGGTTCCAACACCCTCTCTGGTTGTAATTGTGTCACCAAACCCAGAGCCTGCACCATTCTTTAGATGTGCTTGGAGAAATGGCCCAGGTCTGGTGAAGGCAATATGGCCAGCTGAGATATATACCAAAAAATTAATGGTTCAAATTCAATTGTAGTCATGATATTCATGGAATAACTCTCTCTCTCTCAAACTTTGACCTCGTTCCTGCAATTACAGGAAAATTATCCTGACCTAGCCTACAGGTTTGGTGGAAAGATTAAAGAAATTTATTTGTACTGAGTTATTTCAAATGTATTGCATCAGCCTTCTCAACCTGGTGTCTTCCAAATGTGTTGGAATACAAAGCCTCTAATTCCAATCCAGGAGGGCCAATGGCTATTCAAACTGGTCATTATAAAAACCATAATACCTGAGTTAATTTATTTCGTCTTCTCTCCTCCTCCCTTTCTTTTTTGTCTCTTGTTTATTTGATTCTAAGTTTCTGAGGGGCGGCCTTAAGTTTCATCTACATATACAATAAAACCTTGGTTTCTGAGCATAATTTGTTCCAGAAACATGCTTGTAATCCAAAGCACTTGTATATCAAAGCGAATTTCCCCATAAGAAATAATAGAAACTCAGATGATTTGTTCCACAAGCCAAAAATATTCATATAAAATGATTACAATACTGTAATATTAATTGTAATATTAATAAACTCTTGTCATATACTGTATTTAATGTAACTTAATAATTATTGTGAGCCGCCCCGAGGCTTCGGCGAATGGGGCGGCATAAAAATGTTTTAATAAATAAATAAATAAATAAATAAATAAATAAATAAATAAATAAATAAATAACTGGCAATAAGGCAGCAGAGGAAAGGGTCTATATCTGCAGGCAGTCTGACCTAGAATGAAGCAAAGCATTCCTAAGTTTACTCTTGTATGGGAAAGCAAAGGACTGTCCACAGCTGCTTTGAAGTGACAAAAAATACACTAGTGCCAGTTGTGGGCACCTTCCAACATTCTGAGAAATGGCAGAACTGTTTTCTGCCACACACTGCAGTCTGAGACTGAGCATCCAAGCTTGGAGACAATTACCCACAATCCTGCAGCAAGAGAGAAAGAACCACCATTGGCTCAGTTGTGATCATGTGATGTTCGGCCTCACGTACTACTCATATTGCAAGACATCACTCATTTATCAAGTTAAAATTTATTAGAAATGTTTGCTTGTCTTGCGGAACACTCACAGAACAAGTTACTCGCAATCCAAGGTTTTACTGTACTGCTGAGTATACTTTAGACACTTTAAAAATATGTGGAAACAAACAGCACAAAAATCCAAGCAATGACAAACCAATTGCAGGTAGGAATAGCTGTTCAAATAAACTAACAAATGAACAAATTAATTAATTTAAAAAACCACTTTAGCTTCATTTAGCTCTTACCTTTCTAATCATGGTCAGGTCTGGTTGTTTTGTCCACGTCCTATTATAAATGTCATAGGATTCCATAGAGATGAGCTCCTGTTCGCCATCTTCACCTCCCAGAACATACAAAACTCCATCAATTTCTACCAAACCAAAGTTGTGCCGTGCCTATTGGAAACAGAAGAAATTAAACAGTGTAGGCACCCTAGTTTTTGTTAAATACATTTAATATAATAAAACTCAAGCAACAAAGCATCTTACCTTTAAAGCCAACATATTTTTAATAGTATAAACTGGTCCCTGATCATCGAGGAGACTGATAGGTTTATCCCGTTCCCTTTTTGTTTTTCTTCTTGGTAGACTGTTTATTATATTTTATTGTATTTTAATGTACTTCAATGCTATTTTAAGTTTTGAAAAATGTTCTAGATGCTGTTTTATTTATTGTATTTTTTTGCTTTTATATCCTGTTGCGAACCGCCCAGAGAGCTTTGGCTACAGGCGGTACAGATATGTAATAAATAAAACAAATAAATACACTTCCGTAAGCCAGATTTGATCAATGCGAAATTCAGCTATGGAAAGCGAAATAAAATCACACACCATTAATTCAAATGCAGTGTTACCTCATTCATTGGTGGCAACGAGCTCCATGAATTAGTGTCTGGATCATATTTTTCTCCAGAGCTCAAAGTGACTTTATTTTCATCTTGACCTCCAAGCACAAACAGGAACCCTTCTGAAAAACAGACCATATGAAGACTTCAAAATGTAAGCGGCATTCATAGTACCTAATTGATACAAGGACATAGAAGAATATAAATAATCTAAATGAACCAGTCCAGAGGCCCATTTAATACCAGCATCATGTCACCACTGTTGCTAAATCAGATGCCTGCAGAAAGGTTATGTGAAGGCAATGGCCCTCTTCCACTGCTGCTCCTCTCTCAATGTCAGATGGCTGAGAAGGCTCTGTCAGTTGTATGGCTGTTGGGAGACTGCTTAGGAGGGGCTGGACCTGGAATTATTTACAAACAACACTAAGAATAAAGTTGTCCAAAAGCAGTTGTTGAGAATGGAGAGGCAGGCTAGTCAGTTTTACTGGATTGGGCTCTGCAGAAGGTACATTCTTGAGAGGCATGGAAGCCATGCATGATACAGGAGGTCTTAAACTCGTTTGGTATGGCAGGTGGGACTGATGGCTCCAATCAAGAGGCTATGTGCACTGTAGTTGTAAGGCATTTCAAATATGAAATATTTTGCATGTTGTGACAGTGCAATCAGGTAAAGTAGAGAAAAGCCTGGTCAAGTTTGTGGGTTTATTGGTTTGGATGAGTTCCAGCTGGAACAGCTTAAGAAAGCTGACGAGCTGGCTTGGACAAATTTGTACAAACATATCCATATGGGATCCTTGCCCCTCCTGGCTCATAAAAATGATGAGGGAAAGAACAGGGAGGTTATTAGTGCCTGTTGATGATCCATGCTACCAGAAATATACAGTGGTGGGACCACTCCTGAAGAAACCCTCTCTGGACTCAGAAGAGCTTAATAATTTTAGACTGGAAAGTATCATTTCTCTTGGCAAAGTTCTTGAGTGGGTGGTGGCAAACAAGCTCCAGGTACTCTTGGACGAAACTGATTATCTGGATTCACTTCAATCATGGTTCAAGGCCAGGTTTTGGCAAGTATGATGACCTACACTGGGAAAGTGAGCGAGCATGATTTAGCTGGTACTTTTGGCTCTCTGGATAGCTTCTGACACCATCAACTATGGCATCCTTCTGGTGCTGGCTGAGTTGGGAGTAGGGTGCACTGCACTGCAGTGGTTTTACTCCTGCTTGGGTGACTGATAGTCCCTTGGACTATCCAGTATGGGGCTCTTCTGGAGTTGGTCTTGTGCCCCCCCCCCCAGCTATTTAACATCTACATAAAACTCTTGAGTTATCTAGAGTTTTGAACTGTGTTGTCATCAGTTGTCAGCGATTTCTCTGTTCATCTTCAGCAAGCGAGGTCATGGATATGCTAAATCGGTGCACGGCTGTGACAATGGACTGAATGAGGGCTAACAAACTGAAGCTCAATCCAGACAAGACTTGGATGCTGCTAGAGGGTCATTCTTCTAATGGAGGGAATTTAACCTGTTCTGGATGGCATTACACTCTTCCCGAAGAAGCAGGTTCTTAGCTTGGGGGTGGCTCCTTGGGTCATCTTTGTCACTTGGGGCCTAGCTGGTTTCAATGGCATGGAGTGTTTTGTATCAGATACCTGTAATGACCACAGTGTGCGTACTATATATAATAGCATCTTGGGAAATTGGATTGGTGTTTTACTTACATTCCCAAGGGAGCCGGAGGGTGGTGTGGAGAGTGTACAGTCCCAGAGAGAAGAGCTGAGCTATGCATCACCAGAAATGGAGCCAAAAATTGCAGATCATTGTGTGAGTTGTGCTCATCTGGGATGCTAAACTTCCCTCACACTGGAGTCCATGACTGAGGGACTGGCTGTGGCATGGGAGGTCTAGCTAACTGAGTTGAAACGAAAATGGGGTCTTGTTTGGTGTTAGAATTCAACTGACAGGCCAACTTTTTTGGTTTTGGTCCCTAGGCCCTAATAGTTGCAATGAGTTTTGAATGGGATTTAGTCTATCTGACTTGCTTGGAACTAGCCAAGGGTGCTGAAGAGCAAGTGCTGAGTTGTTGGTCCAAGGAGACAGCCCAAGGTGTCAGTATTAAATGCATGGATATCCCTGAAAGGGCAAGTTGGGTGGCCACATATTCCATGAAGATGAGGAGGGAGGCAGTCTGTGGCAGATACTGGCTGAAGTGATATATCAAGGCTAGCGTTGTGCACCTGAGAAAAGCTGCTAAAGCTTCTTCCCAAAGGAGGGTGGAGAGGCACACACCCATTTCTATTGACTTGTTTAGTAAAGGTCTTGCAGCGGGGACACGAGTCTTCTCCATGGGCCTCTGCACTCAGAGTATCCATGAAAAAGTGCTACAGTGTGACCACTTTTTGAAGGAGGCCTTGGAAGCCATGAGCCCTGAGGGGTAAAGGAAGAGAGGAGCTCAGAGAAAACAGCAGGAAGATGAGATCTCTGCTTAGCACCTGATAAGGCAGGAGGAAAGCAAAAGAGGTAGAAAGGTGAGCATAGCGAGGCCCTTTTCTGTTTTAGCTGTGAGGCAGAGAATATTCCAAAGAGTTGCATTCAGTGCAGCAGAAAAGAACTGCAGCAGGCCGGAGCTACACCCAGAGTATAAGCAAGAGTGGTGGTGGGGCTCCCCCAGAAAAGGATGTTCCAAATGTTCTTCTGCGCAGGCACATTAATTACATGTGTGGGTCACAGAGACTAAGATGAAGAGTCAGCGCTTATACGTTGTTGCTTTTATTGATGTAGGAGCCTTCCTGACTGAAAAAAGGGCATAATCATCATCATCGTGCTTTGACAGTTCGTTTAGTCTTTCAACAACTCCAACTCTACAAACCAAACTATTTGCAACATGATGGGTAAAATATGGCATTTTGGGTTACTTCTGGTACACCCTAAGTTTTACATAGATTTTGTGCAGGTGGATACCAGTTAAAGCAAAAAGTTAAATTAGGAACAACCTTGTGGTTCTACATTTGGCAGGAGAGTATGTCAAGTGACATTCTTGTCACTGTAGAATGGAATACTGCTGCAAGAACAAGTTTAGCAGGCTTCCACTAGACGCTGAGCAATATTTCTAAGACAGTATCTCAGAAGCATGGATTTTGCTACATATTTTAAACTGGATTGCCACAAAGTTCTTCTTTCTGGAGGCATCTGATTTAGCAACAGTGGTAACATGATGCTAGTATTAGATGGGTCTCCGGACTGGTCATTTAGGTTCATTATATTCTTCTACATCTTTATATCAGCTTCTGGAAGAAGTCTCCAAGTTTTCACCTCTATATATTATCTAAACATAAGTAGCACTGCAAACACCTCTGTTATTCATTCTTTGTCTGGGTTTTTAATCTAAAATATATTATAAAGGAGCTACCTGCTTACTTTTCCCATTATTTTTCCCCAACAATGTTCCCAAAATTGTGATTTTTCTCCAAGGCCACAGAATGAAAAGATTATTCAACCTTGTAAATAGTTGAGAGCACTAGGCTTGTAACTTCTTGCAACTGAGCTTCCTACCTGCTGAAAGCACGCCGTGATTTATTCTGGGAGTACTCAGAGGGGCTAGTTCTATCCACAGCTGTCTGTTGGGGTCATAAAGGGGGCACATGCATCGCATTACTGCTGATGGTTTCCGGGATCTGAAGAGGAGGAAAGACAAATTTAAACTTACCACATGGCTCACCTTATGGCTAATAGGGTGGGATAAAAATCTAAGAAACAAATAAATAAAGTAGGGTTATTTGTAGTTAAATGCTACTAAAAATGCATATATCAACATTTTCATGTGAAGTTACAGATTTCTAGAAGTCACAACTGTGTCTGTTCACACAAACTCATCTGTATTAAAAATAATAATAAACACACAACCAACCAACCAACACTTATTTTATTTACAAGAATGGCACTGAACTCCAGCCCATAATAAGCATAAGAAGAAGTCAACAATGCTGGGAGGAAGGTGAAAAAACAAAAAGTACAAGTGGGTACTTAACCGCCCAGAGAACTTCAGCTGCTGGGCAGCACAGAAATTAATTAATTAAAGTGCTAGCATTACTTTTGAAACAGTCCACACCTGTACAGAATGAGGCCATGTTTGAGCTAAGGCTAACATTTTTCCTCTGGAACCAAAAAGTTTTTTATTCACTGCAGCAAGAGCATAAAGAGTTTTAAAAGAGTTCTAATACTTTGAGGTGTATTATAAAGTATATTCCAAGCAAATTATACAACAGGCTTAGAGTTTCTAATATTGAAACACATGTCATGTGTTGCAGGTTGCTTATGCTGAAGCACATTAGCGACTGCATCCCAACATATCTACCAACAGTGTGGTATAGTGGTTAGATGCAGGACTGGGATTTGGGAGATCCGGGTTCTAGTACCTACCTGGTCACAAAGTTTACCGTATTACTTTGGGCCAGTCACTGACCCTCAGTCCAGCCTGCCTCACAGGGTTGTTGTGAGGATAAAATAGAGGAGGGGGAGATTATCTCAACTGCTTTGCGTTACTTGAAAAAGGCAGGATATAAATATAATAAATATATAAATAAATAATACGGGGTCAGAAACAGGTTAATAAATAATTACAGGTTGTGTTCCACCATTTTATTTCTTGGTTTACATATAGACTGGATGCATCCTAGAAAACATTAATTAACCAGTCCCCTATAACTACAATTCTTTCATGCCAAAGAGGATCCTGCAGTTATTGAAATTCCAAGTGACATAACAGTCCCTTAGCATCTTTATGAAGCCAGTACTTGGATCAGGGCCATAATAAAACAAAGTTTCTGGGACATTTCTTTATAGGACCTTTCTATTCAGGTATGCACAGCTTGTTCTCTCTGCTCCCTGGTCATTTTATGTTAAAACTCATTTTCAGTTGGAGGCCTATTTAAGGAATCTACATGTAGAGTAAGAGCTCAGAGGGCACGGACTTTGACTAGACCTAGTATGCTTTGGGGAAATATGATGGTGCTCTCCTGCCACTAAGGATCTGTCTGACAGTAACCTAAGAGTGGAATCGTGTTCTGTTCTTTCTTTTTTCTTAAGATCGGGCTTGCCAGTAAAGGACCACCTCCTTACAGGCTACACTACCGGGACAGTCAGCCTGTTTGAATACTTAAGTACTTGCTGACGGGAAAGATCTCACAGGTGTCAACACCAGTGGCCATATTGTCATGACTGGCAGCAAGGACGAGGAAGGAAGCAATGAACTGATGCTGGAAGGATGGTTTCAGGGGTTTGCCCTCAGGCAGTTTGCTCTCTTCTATATATGTTATACTTTGCTTTGTATCCGAGGTTATTGTATCTTGTTTGCTTTTGTTTCTCATCCACTGACTGCAATAAGTAAGTGGAGATATATTAAGTGTCTGAGGGCACAATTCTGGGCAAAAAGTTACTTATACAAATTACTCTGAAGGGACAATCCAGTAGAGTAAAGAATTTAGACAAAAAAAAAGCCTTCAACTTCCAGCAGGCCCCAGCCAACCAAGTCACCCTAAACAACTTACGCTCTTTCTTCACCGCCAACTGTCACAATGCACTCCGAGTATCCTCTAGGTTTGAAAGAGGCTAGCATTGCCTCCCCCTGCTGGGGCTGCGTGAGTGGGATGTTGCTACATTCCTTGACAATCTCCCGTACCAATGGCTCGCTCATCATTTGCTCACGCAGGTAGGCAGAGTCTAGCCCAGATACCCACACAGCTGACACTGCATCCTTCATGTGAACCTGCAGAGTTAGAAAGATGTGGAAAAACAGGCAACAAATGAATTACCAAACAAATCACATGAGCATGCAGTTTTGCAGATTTTTTTTAATCCCTGCTTTTATTAAGCCAACATACTAGCTTTGCAGGTAGGGGCAAGAAGTGCTGAAAAAAAGGGAAAAAGTTGCAGCATATGTTGCACGTACTGGGATGCTGCAGAAGTGCACAACATGCAACTAGATACTACATTCCAGTGTGTGGTCTGAAGCCATCATGAGGTAGCCATCATTCTGAAGCTAAGCAGATTTGGGGTGGCCTGAGCTTGGAGAAGAGACCACCTGGGAACTGCATATATTCACCTTTGGTTCCACCATGGGAAAAAGGTGGGATATAAATATAATAAATGCAGTAAAATTCAACTTTCAGGGATCTAATTTTTATTTATTACGGACGAGCTAGACAGGCTTCCAACTGAGTGAAGAAATTTGCTGAAATCTCAAGAACTGAGGGCAGGACTGGATGATAGGAAAAACTGGCACAAAATGAAAGTATATGACTTAAAAACCTGGAAATTTATTTGATCTGCTTAATGTATACATATTGCAGAATATGGGTTTTTGGGGTTTTGGTACAGTATTTGGATAATTCAGGTGCGGAATTTTAATGTTTCCAGTCAAAAGTCCGTATTAGTCTGGTAAGTTTAGCACTCAAGAGCAGAAAGCAAACCCAGACACTGCAATTTGAAGCACCAAATATGGTAAAAATCATTCCACAGCACCTTTTACATAGCCTCAAATCCCATACCTTTCTTAATTCAGGATCATGGGAGATCCATCTAATGACTGCTTCAAAAACATATCTTTCATTTCCAACATTCAGCTTTTCTAAAGACAGTATTTCTTTTAATTTCTGAGGACTCAATTCCAGGAACTCTTCTGTACTGCTGACATCCCGGAAGTGCGTTTCCAGATATTCCGAAGCAAGATAATGCACATGGTGCAAGCAATAATGCAGTGCAAAGTCCCGAATTCCAATACAGTTTTCAGCAGCAATGCAGCCTTCTAGGAACTCACAGCATAGAGTTTTTAGGTCTGTAAGCAGCAACAGATCAGCAGCTTGTACAACATCCTGAATTGTGTCTTCACTTAGCCTGATCTGCAAAAGGTTGGGAAAGTTACAGTTAGAACAGTGGTAAAATTTACTAGAAGTCAAACACCGAAGTGCGACGCTCTAGTGCACTCATCTGCAACGAACAACTGGCCTTTGCCAGTTTGGTGCAGTTTTGTCTCTAGTTTAGTAAACAGATGATAACATAAGCACTGGAGAAGGAGCTAGAAATGTTTATCTGAGTCTGCCAAAGTTAAGCATGTGGGCTTTTTCTCTTCCCCTGGTATGCCCACATTCATAGTACCTGTTACACGTGTGGTATACGTACCTCACCTTGATCACCTATGATAGTCTTCTCCAATTCAGTGTACTCGATGGATTGAAGTGGAAGACACTGAACTGGGGAAGGCTGACCTATCAAATTCCTTCTCGTGGAACATGCTGACACCAGATGCAGTGATGGCCAATGGCTTAGATGGGCTTAAGAGGGGCTGGACAAGTTCCTGGAAGTATGTTTATTATAAGACATTAGCCATAGCACCTAAACTGACCCTTGGTGGTCCCAGGCAGTGTACATCTTGCTGGGGAACAAACAATCAGAAAGGTATTTCTATTCATTCTCTGTTTATAGTCTTCTGAAAAGCATCTGACTGGCCACTGTGGGAAGCAAGATACTACACTAGATGCAGAACTGGAGACTTTCCCATGCTGCTGATTTACATCTACTCTGTCACTGTAACAGGAATTAACACTTCCTGAAAGAACTCATCCATTTCCAGATCAGGACAGGCCAGCAAAGCTCTCTTCTGTGAGCTTTGCTGACTTGACCCATCCCAGAAACCAACATTTCTTCTTGTTTACAGTAGTTTCAGCTAGTAGTAGATCCATCCACTAAGTGGGCAGCGGAAAATACTGCCTTTGGTTTCATCCACTACAGCGCATGCTCTTACTGAATGGGAGGATATGTTCAGAATTTCTCAGTCAACAAAGAAATGATTGAAAACATGCACTCCTGCCTAAAAAATGATGATGATGATGATGATGATGATGATGATGATGATTTCTTTCATGGGAGATTTAAATGTTTAAAGTATGTCTAGCATTCCTGAAGAACAGAAATATGTAGGATTAACACTGGCAACACAAACCTGGCCACTGAAGATGTAGTCCAATATCTCTTTCATAATGTCAACAGATATCCCATCAAGTTCAATTTTATATGTGGAACCATCATCTTTTGGAGGATTATAGTTCAGTTTTGTTCTGAAATTAGAAAGCAAGCTTTTTAACAGTGATGAAATTAAGACAGAAGCAAAGAAATCCACACCCAGAAAGTTCTTGGCCTTAAGAATAACTTGTTAATTGTAGATCCTCTATACAAAGATGTCAAGATAGGAGAACACAGATTTGGCTACTGGTTATCAGTTCATGATACCATCATGTGGCTATTAAGTGGAGATCCAAATAGATTTTCATCCTAACATTTAGGAAACAGGGATAAGTTCTTTGATTGTGAATAATTTTGTGTTTACTGTCATTTCTTATTCCATGTACACACACACATACACGCAAGCTTGAAATAAACTTAGCTCACTGCACAGGATTTGTACAGAAGTACTCAACATGATGCCAGGATCAAAGCAAAGCACAGCACAGCACCCAAATCTAACTAGATATAAGCCTGAGCGGGAACATACTATCTAACCAGGAAAAAAGAGAAGGTGGAAGCAATATACAAAAGAACTGTGCTAGGGAGATGAAAGAATGACAGACATGTTTGAAGAGGAAACCTATGAGAAAGAGCCTTCAGTATTAGAAAGTGAAGTGAAAGCTTCTCTAAAAGGATTTGGAAGGAACAAAGTGTCCAGAGAAGACAGGATACCAATACAGCTATTCCAAGCTGCAGAGACCAAATTGGTGCAAATTCTAACACAAATATGCCAACAAATTTGGAAAACAAAGCAATGGCTCACAGATTGGAAATATGCAGTGTATATTTGAATCCCCTAGAAAAGAGAAGCAAAAAAGTACTGCCAAATATTGGGCCAGTGCAAGCAATGTGATGCTCAAAGTACTGTAACAAAGAATATTATCCTATTTGGAAAAATAAATATCTGGTGTTCGAAACAGATTCTGAAAAGGGACAGTAGAAAAAGGAAATCAGGTGCAGAGATACAAAATGGAGATATTTGGTTCAACAATACCAAAAGCGAGAAGGATCACAAACTGAATATAAGTCAACAATGTGATGTGGCTACAAAAAGGCAAACGCTATATTGGGCTGCATTTATAGAAGCATAGCTTCCAAATCACATGAGGTAATTGTTCCACTCTATTCAGCACTATTTAGACTCGATTTTGAGTATTGCATCCAGTCCCAGGCACCACAGTTTAAGAAAGATGAAGACAATCTGGAAAAAGTTCTGAACAGAATGACAAAGATGGTCCAGGGACTGGAAACAAGGCCCTCCGAGGAGAGACTAAAAGAAACAGGCACATTTAGCCTTGAGAAGAAAGGACTGAAGAGAGATATGACAGCACTTTTCAAATACTTGGAAGGCTATCATGCAGAGAAGGGCCAGGAATTTTTTCAACCCTCCCAGGGTGCAGGACACAAAATAATGGGCTTCAGTGACAGGAAGCCAGATTCCAGCAGGACATTGAGAAAAATTTGGCGATGGAAAGTTTGACAGTATGGATTACTTAGGGCAGGGGTCGGCAACCTTTAACACTCAAAGAACCATTTGGACCCGTTTCCCACAGAAAAGAGAACACCGGGAGCCGCAAAACCCTTTTGACATCTAAAATGAAGATAACACTGCATCATTTTTTACCTTTATGCTATGTATAAAAAAACTATAGTGCATTGCATTTATGAAAGCAATGAACTGCTACAGAGAAAACAAATTTTTATTTCTGCAGGCAACAAAAACATTTTGAACTCCGAAAAAAAAGATGCTGGGTTGAAGGTTACTTTCAAATAAAATACTCAATGTCTATTTGAGTCCTCCTCGTATTTATGAAATAAAAAGCTGAACTTAAATTATCCACCTGCAGAAAACCAAAAATGCCACCTGCAGCAGCAAACCAAAAATGCCGTCTGCTTTTGTGTGCCCTCATCCTTTTATCACATGTACTGGAGGGTGCAGCCAGCTGTCAACCTGAATAAAAAAGGACTAACTGATACGTTCATACAGTAAATAGAGTTTCTGCAATACAACAAAGATAAATAATAGTCTGGTGAAATATTGAACAAACATCCCTCTCCCAATGTAATAAAGTTGCTGGAATTTTTATAAGAATCTTCTTAAAACAAGGAAGTAGATCTATATCTTCATTATGGTTTAGTTGCAGTTATTTCTAATCTTACATTATAAACTAGCAGGACTCCTTTCATATATTTTGAATAGGAGAACAGCTTCCTGCAGAGTTAAAGTCAGTGCTAAAGGGCTGCATGCATTAAACAGCAAACCTCATAAGTTCATCAGCAGTAAAAGCAAATGAATCTACCCACATACCATTAAATGTTCAGTTTTCTTTAGAAACTCTTCTTTTCTTCGATTTATCCATGGTTGGCTTACCGGGGAAAAAGTTCAGTAAATCGGCTCGGGTCGCAGATAGAGGTGTGTTTAGTGACTGATTAGCAGATAAACAGTCAAGTGATGTGAATTGTGACAGGTCCCAAGCGCAGCTTTTAACATTCAGAGGAAGGAGATTACACTTGGACAAAAAGAATCTTTTCAGCTGTGTTTCGTGTAGCATGAGAGCCTGCAGGAAGCTTGTTCCACTCTTTCCCTGCACAATAGCAGAGGAATGTATCGATTTACTTGACCAGCTAGTGCGGCGTTCCTGAGTGGAGCTCCGGTTGCAGATCGACGGCTGTGCCTGCGCGTGTTTTGAGCAACGGAGCCGCAGCAGAGGGATTCAAGAGCCATGTGTGGCTCCAGAGCCGCGGGTTGCCGACCCCTGACCTAGGGAGACTGTGGGCTCTCCCACACTGGAGGCAATCAAGAGGCTGTCGGGCAAGCATCTCTCAAGGATGCCTTATCTTGGAGTCCTGCACTAAGAAAGGGGTTAGACTTGATAGCCCTATACATCCCTCCCAACTTTATGATTCTATGATCATATCACATATCTATGTTGGCCACTGGAGCACATGAGAGAATTTCAGAAGGAGCTCAGTCTATGCATTATAGACTAGAGCAAAGCCTTTGGCTGTGTGAATCATGAGAAACTATGAAGGTTTGCCTCAGCACTTGACTGTCCTGGTGCAAAACCCATATTGTGGACAAGACACTAGATAGGACAGAATCCTGAGAAACAGAACAGCTTCCTGTAGGCAATGGTATCAGACACTTCATCAGTTTATCTATTCAAATTATCAGGGAAGGAAAGCTGGATTAGAATCAGATGAAGAAGTTAAAATTGGTAAAAGACACATCAATAAGATATGCAGATGATACAATTGAAACAACTCCCCATTTCCCAGCCATCAAATTCCTCCTCCAAAGAGTCAGCACAACCCTGACCTTGGAAACCACACGAAGAACAGCTGCCTCTTTCATTCTCAAAAGGTAGAGACAACACAAGAACGCATACGCAAGAGTATGGATTAAGTGTGGACTGCCACTAAATCATGAATTGTTGCTGAAACGTGGTTTATCAGGTTGTCTGAACCCAGCTGTGCCAATAAGTCATGGCTTATTAACTGCAAGCAACCTATTTGGATGTTTGTGAAGTGGGTTGATTACTGTGGTTTGTTACTTTGGCTGAGTTCAGACAACACCATAACCCACATTTCAACAGATATCAGTGGTTCAATGAGAGCCTATACTCAAGCCATGCTCAGTCTCCAAGTGTGAGCTGCTATACTGTCTGAGCCCAGCCACATTGTCATTATATAACTAGAAACTGGAATTTACTTATGCAGAGAAAGCCATAGGGTGTGCATAAAGTTTGTCTGGATAGCTCTTATTTGCATTTTAATATAAATAGATATGTAGGGGTGTGCATCTGTGGTTTGCATAAATAAATTACATAATTATGAAACTAGCTCTCCCCACTATGGAGAAGTTACTTAGAAGGCAGATCATGCAAAATACAAAGAAATAATTAAGATAAAATGTTTGCTTCCAGGTGCAAGCACAATGAGGTGCCCACTTCTGGTTTATGAGCTTCAGCAAAGAGAGAAGTGAATAAGCTGCATGCTACTCATTTAGAGTAAACCGGGATAAGTCGGGAATCCTGCCTCATCATTATGTGCAAACTCAAACTCTGGAAACTACTTTATTTATGCTTGAGAGATGCCCTTCTGTAAAACCTTCACGCTGAAGGCCAAGAAGACTGACCAGTCCAGCCATCAGTGTCAGCCAGGTTCAAGATTATAAGCCATGCTGTGATGAATCCAACCTCCCTCTTCTTTCTCCAATCCTCTAGAAATGTGTCTGAACGAAGAACATGCCCACACATGACTGACATCTATAAATACCAAAATGTGCATTACTGCACATCCAAGCCCAACTTTACCTCCAGATGATTCAGCCTTATGTTTGAACAGGTAAATGCAAGAAAGTCAAACTGATTGGGTAGTCTTCTCAGGGAGTTGCCCAGCAAATACCATTGCTTGTGAATTCTCCCTTTGTCTTCAAGCAACTGGCAAAAACTTCAGATGAAACCAGCCTGCAAGGTCCTGGATATCCCTACCACCAATAAGCTGATTTAGTGAGTTATTGGGACTTTAGGTTCTCAACAGTAAAATCCTAATTACCCAATTCCATGCTTCATTTTATTTTAAAAGCAATGGACCATTTATGAGCTCTTTTCTGTTTGCCTCTTGATTATAGTCAATTGAGGTCAAATTAGTTCTTTTCCTAGCCAGAAGTGGGTTTCAACTAATCCTTCTAGACTAAGGAACTTCAAACTTGGGGTCAGGACCCACTACTGGGTGATGGACCCTTCCAAGCTGGGCTGCAGACTGGCCTGAACCACTACCCTAGTATAAATAGTTTTTTCTGGCTTTTCTGTGCCCCTCACCACCACCCCACGTGCTGGTCTAAGGTTGAAAAAATTGATGTATAGCTGTCCCTACCTTCCTGAGGCTGAAGGGCTCTGGATCCCTGTCATTCCGGCCAACCCTGAGCTGGGAGTCATTTGGTGGACAGAACCATGCTCAGTATCTTCCAGTTCATTCCATTTCTGGCCGTTCTAGGAAGTAGACATGTTTGCCTTTGCTGGGAGTTCTTTGGGCATCCTGCCTGCTTCGG